AGGAGGAGGAGGAGGAGGAGGAGGAGGAGGAGGGGAGGGAGACAAAATATTTGGGGAGGAGCACGACAGGATCCAGAGGAGCAGAGAGAGGATTATAAAGCAATGCATTAATAATGCATTATTATTAATAGGGTCTTTTACAAACAGAGAGAGCTGATATTCCATGTGAAATTTGGGCCCATTATCATCATTTAAAAAATTCTCATTCCATCTCCCCAAAGGCCTCATGGAGTCTACTCTCACATCAATGCCTTTGTGTAAGTGTTGTATTATTGTCAGTGATTTTCATTTTGTTCTCTTTTGTTGCTTTTGGGTGGTAGAGTCAGGCTAGGGGCTGAAGTTGGACCCTGGGCTGCAGCATTATAAAACTGGGCTATCACAAGATCGATCCATACAATGAACTAATTTAGTGCCTACAATAGCCTGGAGCCAGAGGTAAGTAAACCTTGAGACCATAAGCCCCTGAGGATGTTTACATAAATCTTGAGAAGACCACTGTCCTATCTGATAGCAGAAGGGATTTAAGCCAACTTCAAGCATACATTAGGTGAAATTAAGACTCCATTTATCTTCTAATCACATTTTGCCTCAAATCATTTTTAAAATAGGAGACTTACCAATTAAAAATATTTTTATACATATACATATTTGCATGAATAGTGTGTTTAAAATCATGCAGCCACTGCAATGCACGCCATCCAACCACAGAAAGATTTTAGGTATAAATTGTTATCTTTTGAATTTACAAGAAACAGAGAATTATGATATTTGGAAGTAAATGACAGCATATAAAGGTAAACATAGCAAGGACAGAGAAGGCAAAGATTTCTAGGCCTATACACACACTCCTGTGTGTATATGTGTTGAAAATATAAAGTTAAATCTTTCTCTGCATTTACAGCTCCATTTTACTTCCTGCCTACCTAGTATCCTAGCACTGCCTGCCTACCTAGTATCCTAGCACTGCCTATGTTTCCCTAGGGGAGATGAAAAAAAAAAAAAAAATAGTAGAAGGACTTTCCCTGCCACTGATAAAATCTATTTGGGGAGATGAGATTGAAAGACATAAAAATACTCTTAATTGCTGTACTGTTTATGGACCATTTACATTCACAATATTCGATTTAACCTTACAATGGTCCAATGAATTTAGGAGGAAGGGCAGTGTTCATTATGTCCATTTTAGAGATAAGACTACCAAGGCCCCAGAAAGAAAAGTAATAAACATAACCAATAAACATATTTCACGCTATCCCACCCACACTCATTCTTTTGAATGAAATAATTAGAATTTAATTACATACAGAAAATTATAAGTACCCATACAGAAATTTATACGTATGGCAAAAAACAGACACAAGTATTGCCATTTTTAAATAATATTACACTATAATTTTTTATAAGAAATTAGCAAGGTGGGAACATCACAATATGATTAACATAAATATTATATGTATTTTTATATATAAAACAGCTCCACTGTTTATTTAAAAATTCCTATAAACCTTTTAAAATTTGTATCTGTATAAACCCAGGCTGTATCTTAACTTTTCTTTTTTTTTGAGTAGTACATATTTTAGAAGCAGATAGCTTCACCATCAAAGCTAGTCTAATGAGGCTCAAACTGCCTACCTTACAAATTTCGAGGAACTTCTCACTGGTGTACTTCATAGGGTGCTCAGTGAAGGTCGCATAAGGCACCTCAGTGGACCATGGGTTCCAGCGAGATAAGAGGGACTGCTGTTCCAGACTCCCCCAGTAGATCCTAAGGCCTTCTCCTTGTCTCCTACAAGAAACAAGTTTCCTTAGATTAGCCATGTGCACTAGATTAAAACAAAAAGAAAAGGATGAGAAAGTCACGTGATGTCTCAGTCAGATTTATAATGATGCTGAGTGACTTGCCTACTAACTGATTGTTCCAGAAACTCAGGAGGTAAGAATAAAAGGATACATTTGGTTTCAAACATGAGGAGTTCAAGGTGTCATTGAGAATCCTATGTGGAAATGTCTACTTGGAAATGTGACTCTGGTGCTGAGGACTGGGGCCAGGGATGGAAACATGGATATTGCTCTCATGCCAATATTCTGATGGTAAGGGTTGGAAGAAAAAGGGAAAGGGAAGAGTCAAGGTGGTGGGTAAGGAAGTGGATGTGTCAAGGTGGCAGGCAGTTTCAAGGAGAAGAGAAATGACAGCACCTTCATTTTCCACAAAGCAGTTAACACAAGAAAAGATCTGGGACTTCAAGAATAGTAGTGTATAGACGATCCTTAAGAGCGATAATGACCAATTCAGAAAAATGCCTGTGACCACAGCTTTCATATCTCATGGTTCTCTATTATCTGTACACATTCTATCCAGCTAAATTGCAGCAACATACATACCATAGCTCGTAAATAAATTGTGTCTGCCTTTTCCCACACTATCGGGTATAGCCCAGGCCTGGATATCTGGTAAATCCAAGTGCAAAGCAAGAGGAAGCTTGGGAATGATGGGAGGGAAGTCGTGGCAGTAGAGTGTGGCCACATTGAATAACAAAATTGTAATTCCTGTGGTCTCTTCTTTTACATGTGCCCATCAGAATTTATGGTTTGTGGTTTTAGACATCTCTGAATGCAAAGAGATCCCTGGAGGTTAAGCCAAGCTCAGGTGCTTTGCATTCAATGAGCTTTAAAACTAAGTTGCCTGTAATTCTAAACAGCTCCATGGAACATCACAGAGCTCTCATTTCTTCTAGAAATTAAATCCTGGGATCTAGAATGAAAACCCAGAGCTTAATTGTGGTGCCTGCATAAAGCTGTTACTTCCTGTATTAAGGAATTCCTTTGGGAATGCTATTGTGGCTTCTGTGTGTTTATCCAAGTAGAGATGTGTATAAACACAATCTCACACATATGCATATGCCACCCCTCTTCCCGGTTGGCTGATCTCTGAGATTCTTCTTCTAAAATGAAAGTACGAAAAGAACCTGGCACATTCTACTGCTCTGTTCTCAGATTTTTTATCATTATGTTTGAAAGCTGACACCCAACCTTTTTTGTACTTAATCCTTTACCCACAAAGAAAAAGTGGAAAAGAAACATATTGTATATACCTCTAAAGTTCTCTTTCTAACCTCTCACCTTCCCAGCTGTTATTCTGACATTTATCATCCCCCCAATATGTTCCTTCTGTTTCATTTCTTCTTCCTTTCTTTCTTTTTCTTTCTTTCTTTCTTTTCTTTCTTTTTTTTTCTTTCTTCCTTTTTTCTTTCTTTCTTTCCTTTCTTTCTTCTCTTTCTCTCTCCCTCCCTCCTTTTCTCTTTCTTTTTCTTCCTTCCTTCCTTTCTTTCTTTTTCTTTCTCTTTCTTTCTCTGTCCATCTTTCTTTCTCTCTCTCTCTCTCTCTCTCTCTCTCTCTTTCTCTCTGTCTCTCTCTCTCTCTCTCTCTCTCTTTCTTTCTTTCTTTCTCTCTCTCTTTTCCTGGCCTGGTAATAAACTCTAAGCTCAATTACTATTCTATGCATGCTGGTTAATGGAACATTCTGGCTTTAGTCCATTAAGACAACTTGCACAATGGAATCATTTACTGCTTCATATGTCAATTTATGTGCTGGGTGCAATTTTGCTTTTATCCAAAGGCGATGAAAATCTGCCAAGATAGCTTCTCTAAGAAGTACACTTTATATTATTTTACCTTAGGGAAGCCTCAAATGAAGTTTAACCATGAAATTCAAGAGGGACCCTATTTCTAAATAACCAGTCAATTTGAGCATGGCAATGACATTTCTCAGAGATGTAGCATACTTCTGAATATACAAGTTGAGCCAACTTTCTCTCCTGAGCTCCAATGGTGATACCTAAGAAGATAAATCTACAACTAAAAAGTCTCTCCAAAGGTAAAAAGGTATTCTCGGCAAAGACCTTAGTACCATAGGTTTATGAAAACCTACCATCTCCTCTTCCATCCAGTGTCATTAGGACAATTGTGGGGAACACAGGTGCCTTTATGACCAGGACTGCTTCATTAGTTACTTATGCTCACCATGCAAGATGTTGTGGGAGGTAACAGTGAAGTGAAAAATGCAAAAAAATAGGATGTCAGATAGTCTTGCATTAGAGTCTTGCTTCTGACACTTAATGCTGTGGCACTATGGACAAGCTCATTTCATTTTCTGAATCCATTTCACCACATGTTCTTTAACATGTCTCCATGTGACATCTCAGGACCTCGGTAACTGTGTAAATGACATAGATGGCTGTGGTCATGACACTACTAACATGCATTCAGTCAAGGACATACAGTATATAAAAGAAGCCTCTGGTTATGGCTTTTGTAGTTTAGAGGCATCAAATTAGCCCCCTGACCACACCTTCTGCTGCAAAGACTATACCAAGCATTGTCCCATCACTCCTAGGGAACTTTAGCACCTATTGTGATCCTTCGCAAACATGTAAAAGCACAAATCAGCCACCATATGATGGAATAACATTTTAATGTTTATAAATTATGGAACGTGAGAGCTAGAAGGGCTCCTGGAACCTAAAGCCCAGTGCTGTCTTTCTGGAGATGAGAAAACTGGCACACAGAAGGAATAGGGTTTTCCCAAAGCCTCACTATACACAGAGGTGAGCTGGTGAGAGCCTTGGTCTCCCAAGACTTCATTTAGGGGTCTTTTCACCATTCTGGACTCTCACTACAAAGTACATTCCAAATTATGGTCCTGCTATTCCACAACACAGCCTTACTTCCAATCGACACAGAGTTGAAAGAGTTGCCCTAAGAAGACCATCATCATCTGTGGGCAAAAAGCCCATCTAGAGATCTTAGCTAAAGGTCAGAAATGAAATCTCAGTCTCAAAAGGAACTGTAGATTTTTATATAAGCTTGATATTATCAATTATGAGATTGTAGGAAAATAAGGTAGCCCTGGAAGTGAAGAGGGAATTTACAAAAAAGTTAGGTCATCAGGGTAAGAAGACTGATCTTTCTCACTAAGCACTATGGTCAAGTTAATCAAAGTGGGGGTACAGTCCTAGGTAAATAATGCAAACACCAAATTATTAAGCAAAGGACAATTTGGTAGCTTTCTTCTCCAAATCATACTGAGTGGAAACCTTGGCTTTGGGCATTTCATAGCACCTTTCTGATCTTTGGGTAATACCCATTTCACGAGGAAAAAGAGGATAATGGATGAGCAAGTGTTTTGTATGCTGTAAGGCATAGTAGCAACTATCAAATGTTGAGTTCCTAGTGTGCATTATAATGCTTACTTGTCCTGATAGAAACTTTATATTTTTAATTTTTTTTAACTATGACAACAGTTTTTTCGACTTCTTTGGTAGAAATAAATGAAGCTAACAGGAAATAAGATAAAGAATATCACCAGGCTTAATCAGATCACCAAGTCAACAAACCACTGGAAGAACAGAATTACAAAGGGGAGGAAAAATACCATAAGTCCTGCATAGACAAAACAAGAAAAGCAAATACCTAGCACAGAGAAGGTGCTGGAATCTTCTACAGTTTTCTTCACCTATTGATCCCTCCTCCCCCGCCTGATTCTGAGTCTCAGAAAACTTTTGTGTTTGGCTTCCGCTTTATCATGTTTCGGTGTATATAATTTCCTATTTAAATCCATCAGAGAGACTTTCATTTAGCTTAAAACACCCCTACAGCTCTTTTTTCTTCAGACTGAATCAGCATAGCTCTGTAAAAGTTTTCTAATAGGTTAAGAACAATCTTTTAAATCACCTCACAGGTGATTCCCTGAAACAGTCCTAAGATGTTTATCTTCAATTCCAGTATTTAATCAACATATTCTCTGTGCAGTGTGTTGTCACAGGTAGAGAAATGAATAAGACTCAGTCTCTGAATTCTGGAAGCCCATGGGCTGATCATCTCTGGGCCTATTTTACTATCATCTCTTTTGCACACCTCAAACAGGTACAAATAGAAAACCTCAAGCCTCATTATAGAATTAGAAGTTTACCTATTACAATTTATTTTGTTCACATTTTTCTCCCCTCAAGGAAACCAGTTTGTTCTGACCTCCATTCCCACAGTAATAGAAGCAAGAAGATCAATGTACCCTTCACTTCTGCTAAATCAAAAAACCTCCTAGAAAGTTCTAGAAGTAAAGGAGATTCTCCATAAGGACTCCTAAGAACTTGGTGGAAGAAGAGGGTTTATAACAGCTGGAGATTTTTAGGATCCTAGACTGTCTTGAGTTGGAAAGCCCTTTAAGAGATGTGGTTCCAATTCCTTCATTTTATAGATATATAAACCAAAGACCAGAATTTTCAAAGATCAGAGTTCTTCCCTTAGTCTTGTTAATTATGGGTTCTACTCAGTGACTCAGACTCAGAATTTGAGTCAAATATGGTTGTTGCCAGGGTGGAAACTTAAGCAATTACTACTTTAAACCATCATAGCAGCCAAACAGATTTGCCTTCTACGCCACAAAAAGCAAAGGCATCTTGAAGAAATGAGGTTTATACAGAAGAAACTATCATCCAAGGACCAAAGGATCAATCATGAAAAATAAATGTTTGAGCAACACCAAAAAGAGGAGCTCCAAACTGAATGGAGGAAAAACTTTCTTCAATAACAAGTTAAGGAAGACAATACATTATTTTTGACAGGAAATACACCTCTCCTTGAAGTCATTTTCAGCTGAACCAGATAATTATGCCAACCGGTCACCAGTTTTGGTTAATTTGCTCATTCCACACATTCTACTTCCTTCAGAGAGAAGCCGTGCAACCTTCTGCATAGCACAACACAGCCATAGCACAACATAGGTATTCT